GAGTAAGTTAGTGAAAAGAATCAACATATATTTTAAATAAGCAACTTACAACATAACAGCATTATCATCATCCTCAACAAGGTCAACACACAACACATAGCAACACACAACTCAATCACAACTTCACAACATACAACATATACATAACTCATATCAACAACAATTTAACTCATCAACAACTTATGCATCGTCACGCATTTTAACTCGGAGATCTCCAACAACGTGGTGACTAGTCTAAGTGGTTAGGTCCTACCGAACCGAAAACACAGAACCTTTTTGGGCTTGCTAGGTAAACAAAAAATTTGGATAGAAATCCACAATACGATAATGATTTCTCAGACTTTACCACTTAAACAAGGAAGTATAGTACTCTGTCAAGATAAAACAGCTGGGTTTAGGCCTACCACGGCATTGGCTAGCTTAACTAAGCCACCTATGGGATTAGCCTACTGACTATCCTCTAAATACTACAACCCTCCGATACTCGATTAAGAACTAAGTTCTCGACTTCGTACTTTACTCATATTGGCCGCTTGTAATCGGTATAGCTCGGTCTGACCCCTATACCGTGATCGCTTCATACACATGTGCCTCGACCATGCCCACACATGGGATCAACTAAGTTCTAGAGAAAAATAACACATCATCCACTCCAAGGGACAACTTTCTAAGAAGGGTTTTCAACAAATTGAGCTCTCAAAGCACCATAACACTCTCAATCCACACAATGGGATGAGAAACTTCAGAAACATCTCCCCTAGTCCTAGTGATCAACAACTCATCATCACAGCTCAATCAACACAAGTTTCATCTCATCATCTCAATCAACTTTCAACTAGAACAACACAATCAACTCACAACTTTGACAACATCGTTATCATCTCATCAGCTTAATTATCAACTCATTTCAACTTTAAACGACACAACCAATTCAACAACTTATTAGCTTAACTCAGAATTTACAACTCAATCATCATAAAGTAATATCTTTTCAACACAGGGTACAACATGCAACTTTATAGCAACATACAACTCTCCTCTAAAAACTTAACAACACAGTCTACTAATAACTTCTATATAACTCAACACATCTACACACTTCACATCATGATTCTCACAACTCACAATTAGATCGTCTCATCATATTTCACAACATATAAATAGTCCACACTTAACATATAGCAACTTTAACAACATATCACATATTCAACGCATTTTTTATTTGGCACAACTACTCATTTAGTTTACAACACTATACTCAACATGCATCTTTTCATTTCACTTTCTACTCATCATACATCTCAATGTAATTATACAACTCCATACAACTCAAAAATAACCTCAAATTCAACATGAAATCAACCATGCATCAAAATCATCAAAAACTCCATTTTTCCCAAAACCCCGAAAAATGAAAAATTTCTCAAATCAATCAATGATTCTCAACATTCTTATTCCATATGAGTTCCTAAACTCACATATAACCAAACAACATACAATCTAGCTTCCCTTACCTGAAAATTGGCTCAAAATAGCCAAGAAATGAGATGACGAAGAAGTTTCCTCCAAAGCTCGACTCCCAAACTTGAATCCTCCAAAAGTAAGCTTCCTAGCGAACCAGAGTCCTTCTCTCTAAACTTCTCTCCCTTCCTCTCTCTCTTTCTTTCCTTTTCTCTCCCTCCTCAACGCCTATTTATAGAGGTCAGGAGTGGCCAGAATGGCCCGTTTCGAATCCGGAACAGCCCGTTCTAGACTCCTTCGTCATGTGTAAAATTCACATGCAGAACGACCCGTTCTGACATGTCTAAAACGACCCATTCTGGCACGTCTAGAATGACCCGTTCTTAAATCAGAACGGCCCGTTCTGGAGTTGAATTTAACTCACAACAATCATGTTTGGAACGGCCCGTTCTAGTCTAGGATTTATAGGCCTATTTAGTAGTTTGGAACGGCCCGTTCCAGTTTGAGAACGGCCCGTTTCTGGCCTACTAAATTACCCATGACCTTCTGAAATACTTACTACGTTACATCATACAAGAAATACATTTTAAATGTATTAATATGTAATCATTAGAATTGATTTAATAGTGAGAGTTGAATAAAATTTGATGTTTGAACATTAATATTGTCATTGTAATTTCGATGATAAAAAATATATATATGGCATTGGTGTGTAACTGTTAACAAGCAAACGGAAACGGATCTAAGTGTAAGAATCTAGCTAATATAATAATATTAACCATAACAACCGAAATTTAGAAAACAATTAACATAAATTTAAAGTTTCTTTTACCAATTTGTAAAAGAAAACAAATTTGAAATTTGAAGGGTATTTAATATACCTTTCTTTCCTTGAAATTATTCCAAACACATTGTATTACTTACTCATAAATTTTTTTATAGACTATGTACCAACCAGTGATGCATTTGTCGGACTTATTCAATTTTATTTTATTTACCACTTTTCTTAAGAAGATAAAAATCATTTTACCATTTATATATGTTAGTTGTAAAAAAACCACCGAAATCAGAGTCTATACCAGAATAAATAAGAATCACAAAAATTAGAGTACTAACAATAATGTAAAATGTAAATACAAAAAGAAAATTTAAAAACAAAATGAAAAAGATTGACTTAAAAGAACATAACAGATTTATATAATCAATTTGATATGTATTCATAAGAAATAATATATTCCATTATATAGAAATGAAATCAAATTTTTATAATAGAGCAACTTTTGTTCTTTTAAAAAATACTTAGATCTCCCTAACAAGTTTTCCTTTTCTATTTATGTATCTTATTCAAAGTTTTTGCTCTTACGTTCTCACTCTTGAATATTTACTATTTATTCTCTGCTCTCACATCTGAAAAAGTTCTATATATATATATATATATATATATCAAAGATATTAAGATTAAAGTTTATAAAACAGGACATATTAAATTCATTAGTATATGGACAAAAAAAAGCATACAACCATAGAAGTGATATATCACATTTTGAGTCACAAACAACACTATTATTATTGTAAGAAAAGAAAAAAAAAAAAAAAGCATATCATTTGAAAGAGATTAATTTTTTAGTTATCGAATAGAAGAAATGTATAAAAAAAATAATATATAAACTTGTATGCATTAATTTGTCTTACTTGTCATTCAATATTTATATATAATATTTTGATTTTTGATCGATAATTCTCACAAGCAAAGTTATGCAATTGTGATGATTCCAAAATTCAAACACTTCAATTGCATAAGTTCGCTTTCATTGTAACTAATCACTTTACGTAGCCCCGAGTTCTTTGAAATAACTAAACCTTGGATTCTAATTTTGTCAAGATAGCTTTGGATTATTTTTAGCTACCTTTCTTTCATATACTACCTCTTGAATATGCTTAATATGTTAAAAAGAAAAAAATAAATAAATACCATTACTTTTATTGTCTCGTATTCTTTCATACGTTACTTTTAGATTTTTAGATTTTTTTTTTCTCTTTTCCTTCGTACGTTTTAATTTTAACAAAATCCTTCCCTTATCAGTTATCTGTACCATATATAAAAAGGTATTATATACTCTTAATAACTGCTATTGATCTTCATATTTTATTAGGACTATAATACTCTTAAAAAATAATGAAACAACTTTTTTTATCTCAAATATAAAAACACTCATTATCATAATACTACACCAACATCAAACTAATTCTCATTATTACCATCTAACATCATCCAATCACGTTATTTTTATTGTTATTATTATCATTATCATTAATATTATTATTATTATCATTATAATAATTTATTATGATAATTAATATTAAAATTTTAATAAATTTAATATTATTTTGTTTTGTCTATTATTTATTAAA